TCAACATTTTATTTTTTTAAAGGCCATAACCTCTAAATAAAGAGACGTGAGCTTTTGGATGTGGACTTTTTAAAATAAGAGAAATGAAAAAATGTAAGAAAATAGTTAAAAGATAGAGATAAAAGATAAATAGTATTTTTACACTATGGAACTGACATATCACTAATCATATTCCCCGTATATCCAGCACTATAAAATATGCAAGGATGTAGAGAACACTTCCTCAACATTTCTCTTCTGAAAAAGAAAAAATGACTATGTCCATGAGTCAGACATGAGAGAAATAGATTCAACATTAATAAATCAAATATGTATACGGTATTACTTCTTTGATCATCATCTCAAATACATCATAATTCACTCTAAAAAATATCTAAATAAATTATCACCTACAAAACTTAACAATTACACTAAACAAAATATAATTAACCAAAACACTTTGGTGTAAAAACAAAGCAGCCTCACAATTTTAGAAAAATATTTGAGAGAATTAGAGAAAATATAAAAGAGGGTGAAAAGATTGGCAGCGTATTTCCATTCTTCACATGTGTAGGAGGAAACTAAATAGTAAAGGATAATTTTACCTTTAAATGTGGTAGTTGAAAAGTCAAAAGATTTGGGTATAAAATTTTGAAACCATGCGTTTCTCTTTCCTAATTATTACTATGAAACTGCAATTAAATTTTGTTTTCAAAACTGCCTGACTTTTCATTTCTTAACCGTACAGAGTTATGTGTAATTAAGATTTTCAATGAAGGGGTGTGACTTTGAGTTTTTAACTATTAAAATAGGAGAAAACCTCAAAAAAAGGAGGAAAAAAATAAATCTAATTCCTAGCATTTCAGACATGCCACATCAACTTTCTCATTCCCACAATTATATATATATATAAATAGATAGATATAAATATGAAAAGTTACAAATTAAAAGGGGTGAATTGATTATTTCTTGATCAAGCTAAACATAACAATTAAGTAATTTGATCATATGAAAAGTTACAAATTAAGAGTGGTGAATTGATTATTTCTTGATCAAGCTAAACATAGCCATTACGTAAAAGTTAAAACTGTTACTCCAAATTCGAGGGCGTGGTTTGATGGTCGATAAATGTGAAAATCATGATAGAGGTCAGAAAAGGTGAAATTCAAACACCACTGTTTTTAAAAAATAAAATTACTACTCTTCAAATAAAAAAGGGAAAAAAAAACGAAGGCAAAAAAAAGAACGAGTAAATGTGAGTTATGTTACCGAGTTGTACCGAGTTGAATCAGAACAGAAACCCCCAACTTCCAGCTCACTCTTAAACACTCCCCAAAAGCTCAAAGCTCAGCCAAACAATGGCGAATCGGCGATGCGTTCAAACCCTAAGCCGTCATTTAACATATCTTCTCTCTCCAAACCCATCATCTCTCCATTCCCTCACTTCCATTTCACCTCAAACCCTAACCCCACAAATACTTAAATCCATCGTCACACTCACTCCCTCTCCCAAATGCCCCAATGTTACCACTAAAATTTCATCTTTCCACAGGCATTTCTGTTCCAATCGACCGATCAATAGCGATGATGACGAGGAGGGAAGTGAAGAAGAAACTGATGATGATCATGACGTGGAGGGTTTGGAGTCGAATATTGAGCCCAGCAGAGAGTACACTCCAGAGGAGAAAGAACACGAGGCAGCTGAAATTGGGTATAAGGTCATCGGCCCACTTCAGAAATCGGACCGGGTCTTCAAACCATATGAACCCGTTTTTGCCGTTGTTCAGGTTAATTACTGTTTCCTATATACCTTATAATCCCAAACTAGTTGGGGTCGACTATATGAATGTATATGCTATTTTTGATTAACTTAATATATTTGGAGTTTTTTAACACTATAGATTATATACGTTTAGTGATAAATTTTGTATCTTTAATTGTGACCTTTACAGAATTGAAGCTGTTGTCTTTTTTTTATGTAGATTGGTTCTCACCAGTTTAAAGTGAGCAATGGTGATTCCATTTTTACTGAGAAACTGAAGTTCTGCGAAGTTAATGACAAGGTAAGTTGGTTTCTTGCTTTCTGGAAGTTGTGTACAAAGTTGATGTCTTTTTCTTATACATACCACTAACAGAAGGCACCTTGAGGACGTTGTAGCAGTAGGCGCTAACTTAGTAAAAATATATGTCTTAAAAATTGTTCAACAGTTCATATAGTTAAACTCAAATGCAGAATGTGCAGTGCAGATGCACCCGCTGCTCTCATACTACAATTGTCCCTAACTGCTGAAATTACATCAGGAAAAAAAACTAAAGGCTGAGTTTAGGGTTGTGGCTGTCAAAGGTCTGGTTGGATTGTGACCATGTATCGTTGTTTTTAAGCTCTGTTGTTTGTTCAAGTAAGGAATGATGGGGTAAAGGGATACTCTAAGTGCTTATTTGAGCTTTATGTGCCTCGTCCCTCTGGATGTGTTAAATGCTCAATTTCTACCAAACCTTATTTAGGACTGCAGGAGCTAGTTGATGATCTCCTTAGTTCTTTTGTGCAAATGTGTTCGGTCTCAGTCCACTACTTTTATTTTTGCTCTTCTCAATAGATCATTTACTACTGACCTTGCATCAATTGGCATTACTTGAAAGAAAAGGCTCCAGAGCAATTCTTAAGGAAAAAGTTGAGAAAAAAGTATATCTATAACATCAATGAAGTGGTGATATACGTGGAAAAAGTTGAAGATATTTATTATTAGATGCGGGGAATTTCATAATTCTATTTTTAACATATCTGATGCTTGATGAAAAGGGGGAAAAGGAAGTTGCCCTTTTATTGTTTTTGAAATTTGATAATTACCCTCCTGTTATGTAATAGCCCCATAATTCCTCTGTAGTTTTCCTTAATTAAAGAGGCCTTTTTCATAAAACCATGCAACTTTGGTTTGAATAAGAAAACAAGCAACTATTTGTTTTTTTGAAAACCATGATTCTTTCTCCTGTCATCAGTTTATTCTTTAATCTTCAGGTTTTTGATGGTAGAAAGTAAATGCAAGTTAGACCATTGGGACTTTGAGAAAGCTATTAATCCATGTTATTGCGATGAAACAGCCTTATAATATTTTCTGTGTATCCTAGATATTATTGCAAAATGAGTTTCCTTGTTTTAATATGCAGGTATAATACTGCAAAAGGGTTAATGAGACTATTTGTTACGTACTTACGTTGGAGAAGAATTGACAAGTGTTTATAATTAAAAAAGGGTAGTATGTCTTCTGTTCTAAAATTATGTAAAGTAAAAAAGGAGACTTGAATTATATTGCTGGAAATGGACATCTTTTGAGATGTGCATGCACAAAAGTGTTGGGTTCCATAATCCATATGAAACTAATTGGCTTTGATATCTTTCGATGCTAAAGGAAGATGCTAATTTTTTTGGTTTCCAACTTAGTTGGAAGTAACTACCACCATAGAAATTGTTTAGAAAACAAATCTTATGGCAGTTTTAATAGAAAGGAGAGAGGAACAAACTTATCACCCTTAAATATAATGTGGCTTGTGTTTATTGATAGGTTTTAGTTCTAATACAAGCTGAAGCACAAGATAAGCTTCAAAGTGCAGAATCACGTTGCACATGAGACCTTGACCCTGATGAAGCTTGTTATGTGTCCCCCCTTTCTCACTTTAGTTTTTGCCTGTCTTTTACTTGTGAAAAATGCTTGTACATCGGAATTACTGTCACGTGAGTGCATAACTATGTCATTGTTTTGTGTTCAGTTAATACTAAACAAGGTTTTGCTGCTGGGCTCAACGACTCAGACAATCATTGGCAGGCCTATATTGCCGGATGCAGCTGTTCATGCTGTCGTTGAGGAGCATGTAAGATAGTTGTGCCATGAGTCTACCTTTGCCTTTAGTTTGTTTGCATATTTACTTGTGTATTTTCCGGTTGACTAGTAAGTGACTGTTATGTCAGTTCCCATTAAGTTTGAGAAGTTGGATTAGCAATTTCCTCATAAACCACTTTTTAATCCTTTAAAATATATTAAAAGAAGAAGTTCTTATTTGAATGAATTCTATAAGTAGGTTCATTGAGAGGAATACTTATCCCAAGGAAAAAAAGGTTCATCGAGAGCCGGCCCCGACTTGTTTGGGACTGAGGCGTAATTGTTGTTATTTTTTTAATGATCTATTTTTCCTCACTGTTGAAAAGGTATTGCATATATTGCACTACCTGTAACCACTTATGGTAAGTGGACTGATATTACTAATATACAATACCTCAAGAATGGTTTGTGTAATTAACAGAACTTCATTTTTCAGTAGTTATAACTGTTAGCTTCAATTATATTTACTTATTGGATCGTGCTGAGCTTATTCGAGGAATGCCATAGATGTGGAACTAGGTTCAGTTCTTCAGGCATTGAGCTTGGATGTTTGCATAACTTGCTTCATATATGCACACACACATCTTATTTCATTCCAGATAGATTAGGAAATTTAATCTGTCCTTCTCTTGGTCCAGGCATTAGATGCTAAAGTACTTATATTCAAGAAGAAGAGACGGAAGAATTATCGACGTACACGAGGACATCGACAGGTTAGTCATTGATTCATCCACAATGAACATACTGCCTGAAACACAACTATGTTTTATACACGTTGTTACTTCTCATCCTCTTTTCCTATTCATTTTTAGGAATTAACAAAATTGAGGATTACGGATATACAAGGTATTGAGAAACCTGAAGTGGCACACCCTCTTAAAACAGAGAAGAAAGGTGTTAAGAAGGTAGCAGTAGCAGCTTAAAGATGCTAAAAAGTTTTAGTAATAGTTGAGCAAGGGATTTTTGGCATATACAGCTGACGTGGCTCAGCTTTTTCCATTCGTCCTGTCTTATAAGATTTATGTGAAAACGCAGATGCCACATGCGGTCGGGTGTTAAACTGGCATGAGATGGAGGGCAATGATTCTGTTGTAGGCTTAACATAGTTGAATCTTGAGGGTATATTCGGTTACAAGAACACATCGCCTATAAAGCTTAGAGAATAATATTTTCTTGTAAAGGAGTATGTCCGACACTCAAGTCATTGGTGGTTTTTGTTTTCTTTGCTGGTTTGCCCTTTCCGTATGTGTTGTCATGTTGCACGGATTCAGCTGTTGGACTATGCAAAATATGGTGAGATATGATCGGCTTTGATTGGATATTTGGTTTTTGCATTGCTTTGTATAAAACAATTTTTTGTATAGGTAAAGATAGGTTACCATTGTTGATTTCATCTGATATAAATGACTTGATAAAGATATAGGCACATTCCAATCATATAGCAACCAATGAGGGTGTAACCAATTGGTAAGACTGTTTTATTGTCAGCTTTCAATAGTTTGAATCATCTACTCAAAGCTTTCGAGTCTGTTTATTTGATATTTTGCGTGCAGAGTGAGAGGGTCTACAGTCAAGACTCGACTTTTTAATCATGTTATAAGACAAGGGAGGTGGAATTGCAAGAGTCGAGATATTCTCCATTGAGTTGGAAACGGTATAAAAGACAGGTTCAGAAATGGTCAAAACTAAGGGCGAGCAGATATTCTGTGGAACAAAGATTGTCTCATGTTCGTACAAAAGCATTAGGAAATACAAGTCTGGAAAAGAGGGTAGAACAGTAAATTATCAAGTAGCATCTTCGAACTTTCTAGTTAACTGAGAGGTTGTTGAGTAACATGATGTCAAAGTTGCTAACTGGTTCTGACATTATCATCAAGTAAAGAATGACTTGAACATTAGGGGGTGCACGGTCAGCATCTAAGTTTTTAGCCGTCAAAGTAGAAATGTTGACATCCCCCCTCCGAACTAAGGCTGTCCAACTGGGCGGGTCGGGTCGGGTCCCGTCCCACTTAATTTTAAACGGGATGGGCCCATGTTAAACGGGACACAGGATGGGACGGGATGGCCATTTCGTCCCGTTTCGTCCTGTTCCGTCCCGTCCCGCCCCGCCTGTCCCGCGTTCTATTTTTTTTTGAATTCTAGCTGTTGGGCAACGACTCCAATTGCAAAAATAGCCGTTCCCAAAGGCCAAAAACGGCTATAATTGGCCTCCAACCCCCCAAAAACACCCCTACTCCCAAACTTTTAATATAACCTCTAAGTTTATTAAATTACACTTTGGCCCTATTTTCTACTATAAATACCCCATCCTTCTTCATTTTTTCCTACAAAAATAAATCATTCTCTCTCAAATCTCTTACATTCTCTCAATTTTCTCACTATCAACTATCAAGTGATAAGTTTCAAGTATTTGGGCAAATTTTTGGAGCAACTTTCAAGTTTCAAATTAATTCGTCAAGTATTTGGAGCAATATTTTGGGTAATTTTTTCAAGTTTCAATATTTAATTACGGTATACTCGTTCCATCTCCTAATTTTAATATATAATTTTTGCGTATCATTCAAGAAAATGAACAACCATCTCTCGAAGACTGCCAATCTAATATATATTCTTATGTTAAATCAATGTTTGATAAATATAAATCTATGGAAACAACAGGTGGTGAAACTGCTCCTTCTACTTCTAAGTCTAGAGTAAAAGTTCTATGGGAAGATATGGATGATATAACAAGTTTTGATTCCTCTATTGATGATGAACTTGATTCTTATCTTAATCAAGGATTGGAAAGTATTAAAGACGAAGAATGCAATGAACAACTTTTGGCATGGTGGAGGGAGCGTGGCAAGACTTTTCCAACACTTTCAATAATGACACGAGATATCCTTGCTATTCAAGCATCATTAGTAGCATCAGAGAGTGCTTTTAGCGCGGCAAGATTTCAAATCAGAGATCATAGACATTCATTAGTGGAGGACAACCTAGAGATTTCCGTATTATTCAGAGATTGGATTAATTCAGAAAGAAGAAATCTTGGTTTTGAAAAATTAACCACTAGGGAAGAAGAAGAATACAATGAGATACTTAGCACTGGGAGCGATGACGGCATGGAACTCATGGAACATCAATCAACATTGCCAATTCCAGAACAATGTCCGAGAGAAATTATAGATAAGTTACAACGAAGTTATATAGGAACTTACAAATATTAATATGACAATTTGTAATTGGCTACTAAGAGGCCTAGTTCAAACACAACCCTTCCTAGCAGGTGGCTGCGTAGATTAGGTGCTCTTCAAAAGAATTATATTTGTATGTGAGATTTGAAAGTTCTATTAATAAAATAAAAGGCTCTAAGCGTTGAATTTTTTTTATGATTTGTCTTACACTCTTACTTAGTTACTTAATGGCTTAAAATTATATTAAATAAATTATAACTCTATTATAAATTTATAATTACTAGAATATTTCATTACAAGTCTTTTGTTTTAATATTTTATAATTCTTTACTTAGTTTTCTAATTTCTGTTTAATTTTTAAATTTATTAAATAAGTCAAAAAACTAGCCGTTGCAAACTTTAAAAACTTAGTCATTGTCAAAAAAATAGCCGTTGCCAAACTTAATGCTTAAATAATTTTTTTTTAAAACGATACTTAAGGCCCGTGAACCCGTCCCATCCCGTCCCATCCTGTCCCACCCCGTTTATTAGCGGGACGGGATGGACCTACCGTTTCGTCCCGTTTGTTAGCGGGACGGGATGGGCCTACCGTTTCGTCCCTGCTAAATATCGTCCCGTCCCTTTAATTTTATCCCGTCCCGTCCCGTTGGACAGCCATACTCCCAACCAAGCAAACAATATAAACTCAAAATTAAATAAAGCAGAAATCACAATGTTGTAAGTAGCAAGGAGAATACACAGAAGAAGTAGTATTAACCTCGTCGACTTGGTAGACTGAAGGGTGAGAAGTTACCCAGACTGAGTAGAAGGCACAAAATCAAATTCCCCATCCAAGCTCCGACAAAATATAATCAAGAAAAGAGATGCATATATATGCCTCTGAAGTTATTAACTTGTTCATGCAATCAACAGAAAAGTTAAATGACTAAAACAAGCATGATTATTATTATTATTATTATTATTTTGTTAACCATTGTGAATTACTTGTCAAACCAAAACGATTACAAATAAAGAGCACCTAATTCCACATAGCAGAACTTAGGCCTCCAACAAAACAGAACTGAACAAATAAAAAAAAACAGAATGCTAGTTACACGCTAGCTTATATACTAACCCTCTACATCTCCTTGCTCTACGAGATGTTCTATACGATTCTAGTCTAACCACTACATCCTTTTTAATATGTGACACTATCTCTGATCTATGTACAGTTAATCCTTTGAATAATCTCTAATTCCTAGATTTTCAAGTGTGGTATAGTAGAGCCCCCCATATTGCTGCCATCAGCTCTTTTTTGAATCGCGGCCATTGCTCCCGTTTGAAACTTTCTAAAACTTGCTTCAAATCACCTGCCAGAACCTGTATTCCTGTCCGTTGCACCAATTCTTGTTTGACAACCAAAGAATCCACTACTATACCCATCAAGCCCGGGACTTTTATTCCTATCAATGCTAAATAAAGCCTTTTTCACATCCTTATCTGTATAAGGTTGCAACAATTCCATTTGTTGATCAATAGTAAGTATTGTTCCTTCCTATAGTACTATATTTTTTTACTCGTGTTCTTGAATCATCTCTCCTCCCCAACAAATCTTCATAATGGTCGACAAATATTCTAGCAATGTCTTCAGCTTTATTCTGCCATACTCCTAAGCTATCCTTTAGCTGAGTAATGGAGTGCTTCAATTTCCTATGTTTGATCACAGAGTAGAAGTACTTTATATTATCATCTCCCAACTTTATCCATAAGGCTTTGCTTCTCTGTTATAGATATAATTCTACTAAGTATGATGCTTTCCTGAACCTATGATATATTCCTAGTTCATAATGTTGTAGAGCTCTGTTAGTAGGATCTCTCTGCATTTGTTGTTGAGCCTCCTTCAGTAGCTTCATATCCTTATTTGCTTCATTTACAATATTGCTAAAGCAGTCTGAATTAAGCAACTTGAGTTTCTTCTTTAAAGATTTCAATTTCTTCACCACTTTGAATATTTTACATCCTTCAAATGATGCATTCCACCCCTCTCTTACTAGCTCCACAAACTGAGGGTGGTGTGACCGTGTGTTGCAGTATTGGAAGGATCTTTTCCCCCTAGGATTCTTTTCTGCTAGTGAGACTTTTATAGGGCAATGGTCACTTATGCCTGCCGTAGAAGAATAGCTCTACAGGTAGGCATATTATCCAGCCACACACCATTTATAAAAACCCAATCTATTTTGGAGAAGACTCTCTAATCAACTCCTTTATCATTCCAAGAATATCTAATGCCTAGCGTCGGCAATTCAATCAAGCCAGCATCAAACACACAGTTATTGAAATCCACCACCTCAGTCCAGAAAACATGACACCCTCCAATTCTATCAGCATCGTGGAGCACAACATTAAAATCTTCCAGTATCATCCAAGGTTGCATACTTCTTCTACTCTGTATCATCATATTGTCCCATAAACCTCTCCTTTCTTCTCTTGTGTTATGGGCTTGTTGGGAATAAATCCCCTACAAAAATAATATTCACAGTAATAAAAGCAGAATAATCACGTAGCACCAAGATACGATAATTAGCAAGAAAACGAGTGACAACGACACCAAGACTTTTACGTGGAAAACCGTTTGAATAAGGAAAAAAACCACGGCCCTGAGACGAGCAACTGATATCACTATAGTAAGGAATTTTACACTTTGTAGGTACGAGTAAAATACTCCAAAGACCACTACAACACTCAAAAGAAATAACCCTCTTTTGATATTCTCACCTCACTATAATATCGCTCACTCTCTATTTTTTTCACAGACTATTTTTTTATACCTTGTCTGTGAAACTTCACTCTTTCTTTCTCTCTTTGTTGGTGTTTGGAAATGAGAGTTGAAGCTCTCCTTTTATAGCCGAAGCCTCACTCTCTAAAGCCTACTATATTTGACAATTTGCACATACTTTTCCTTCTTTTTCTTCAATGTTGACAATTCAACAAAGTTGGCTACCAACACAAAGAAATTCAACAAAGTTGGCTACCAAACCAAAGAAATTCAACAAAGTTGGCTACCAAACCAAAGAAATTTTCTTTCGGTACATGCCTATTACTTTGGCTATTGAATGAGATGGAACCCATCAATCTCCCCCTCCAGTCTCATTCATCTAAAGGAGGTAGCACTGTCTTCTAGTTTGAGAGTATGCCGACAAGCTCTTTGCATAGCTCGAACTTGTCTCTTGGTACCACCTTGGTCAACATATCAACAGAATTTTCACTCATGTGAATCTT